CCCCCCACCCCAGGCCTAGCCCTTGTTTCGGTTTTTGGGGCAGACAGGCAAGTGGGTAGAGGGGAAGGGGCGCAGAGTGTCCCCTGGGATCCAAGCCTTTTGCTACCACGACTAGCCTGCCTCTGGGTTTGGTCAGACCTAGCATAGCAATCCTCCTTCATAGCAGGGACGCCCCCTCCTTCACCCCAAAGATGGTGAAACTGCTGTGCTCCCTGCTGTTGGACAAAACCCCAAGACAGAGAAAACTGCCAGTGACCCAGACCCAAGGTGGCCGTTCCACAGTGCCAAGGGGTGCCAGTGCCTTTAACGCAATCAAATCAGGAAGATGCTTTTGATATACACCTGATGGAGGGCACGGGGACACTGTTAGGTCAGGAGAGCAGCCTACAGCTGGAGTGGGGGGGGTGAGATGGATCACTGGGCACACTGGTGTGGGGGCTGCTCCCCAAATGGTCATTCACTTCTCTGCCTGCTCAGAGATGGCTGCCTTCCTGGGCTTGTGACTGCTGTGGGGAGCTGGCCCCAAGCCCACAGTTAGGAAGAGTCATGGAATGAGCATCCCCTGAACATGCCTAATATAGCCATCCCAGGGCCCTGTGCTTCACTCTGCCCTGTCACCCCTGAAAGCGGCTCTGGCTAATGACTCCAGGCAATAGGAATGGTCAGGAGCAGACCCTAGCTAAGGCCCAGTTTCCTTGGCCTGGTCAACCCGGTCAGTGGGGAGCCCTCTACCCAGGCTTGAGGCTTTCCCTTGCACTGGACTTTCAGCAGATATGAACTTGTTATGTGGTCAACTCAGGATGGCATGGCAGGGAACCTGAGCTTCTCAAGTCCTCCATGGGGCCCAGGGTGAGCATCAGGACCCTCAGTACAGTACAGAGGTGGGGCACAGTCATTCACAACTAAAGGCTTGTATATATTATCAAAATCTTATGGAAAAACAGATACACAGCTATTTATACAACAGCAGGTGGGTGTGAGGGAAATGTCTGCTTTGGCATCAAACCTTCAGGACCAGCTGCTGTCTGTCCCTCTCCTCCCAGCTGGAGCCCACTCCCCACCAGGCCAGCTGCCCCTGCCATGTCCTCTGATTAGCCCAGGAGGGGTTTGAGGGTATCCTCAGCCCTGCCTCCTTCTGCCCTTGGGCCCTCATGCCCTTCTCAATCTTCTGCCATTGTCCCACACAGAGGGCCACGGGCCCAGCAGCTTTGCCCCAAGGGCTCCTCAGAGGCCTGAATCCTGGCCCTGGAGGGCAGTGGGGCTGGGCTGGTTATGTGGTCCTGGGAGGACATCTTCCCTGGATCACAGGCCTTTCGCAACTTGCCAGTTACTTGGGCCCCAGGCATGGCATTCTTCTCAGTGATATGCTAAAAGGACTCTTCTTGTCCAGAAACCTCAGCTCCAGGTATAAAAGAAATTTTTGGAGAGCCTCAGAGACAAGAAAAGGAAAGTGAGAAGACAGAAGGCATCCTTCCTTGAGTGTGGCCAAGCCTCATGCTCTCCCATGGCAGAGGAGGGGCATCCACAGCAGGTCAGCCAAGGGTGGGGTGGGTGGGGTCTGTGCGGCCCTGGGAGGCGAGGCCGGGGCAGCCTTGGCATTGGCAGATGGTGCCCCCTGGCAGTCTGGTCCTACTGAAGCAGTTTGGGCACCTCGACCTGTAAGGGCAAAGCAGAGACAGTTTAGAGAAAGGAGCTCAGCAAAGGAGCCTCTGGAATTCATCTGGCCTCCCTTCCTTCTGGAAACCAGACCCCCCATAGATGTCTGTGGAATGAATAAATGAGCTGTGGACACAGATGAAGCATTTTTCCTTGTCTGTAAAAACTGGATGTCATCAAATGACCACTAGCATTACAACTGAGGTTGTCCTTTATGTCGCGGCGTCTAGCCCCAGATGATGTTGTGGGGCTAGGGTTCGCTGCCGCCACCCAGTCCGACAGGCAGATGACCATGGCCTCTGTCGCCTGAGGTGGAGGAAGGGGAAACTTTGAGGAGCAGGGTCTCTAGGGATGGTTCATGTGTCTGGGGCACTGATTAGTCACAGGGGAGATCCTCCCGAGGGCTGAATCTCCCAAAGACCTTTGGGATACACTGATCAGTAGGACTTGGCTAGTCCTCAGAGGGAATTCATAAAAGGGAGATCATTTTTGCTCTGGGAAGAGGGAAGAGAAGACTTAATGGCAGGACCAGAGGCAGAACTACTAGACAGAGACTGTTTCTCCATTTCTGGGAGACCCTGGTTTAGCTGCAGGGTGGTGAAGTTAGAGGCATGGAGTGAGAGGCTAAAGGAAGCTCCTTACAGGAAGGAGAGAGTCTCCCTCTAATGGACACCGGGGCAGCCTGCCCAGAGGCGGGGGTATGGCGGCGATGGCTGGAGATGCCACACAGGCGCTGCAGTCTGTCCGCAGCCTGCAGCCTGACATGGCCCGCTCTGCCCCTCGTTCCCCAGACAGGCTCCCCTCTTCTCCAGCCCTGCTGGCCCAGGCCTGCGACTACTTAACTTCTTGAGCTGCTTGAGGTTGCTGGAGCGAATGGCGGCCAGTAACTGGTCGCGGGAGTTCTTCTCCTGGACGGGGAGGACTTTGTCTCCCATCTTCCTCTGGGTGGCTGGTGACAATGAGTTCTTCAGGTTCTCCATGATTAGGGGCGGGGCCAAGGGAGGCGGGGGTGGGGGCGGAGCAGCTGGAGCACCCCCTTTCTTGGGCGAGTTCTTGGGCGAGGCCTTTGGAGATGGCTGGGGGGAGGGTTTTGGGGAGCCCTTGGCCAGGGCCCCTAACTTGGGCACCTCCAGCAGATCCTTCTTCTCACCACCAGCCTCCTGGGCCTGCCGTTGCTCCTGGAGTCGCTTTTGTCGCTGTTTGTCCATGTTGCGGCTGAGCAGGTTGGTGACTGTCATCCGGGGCCCAGCCAGCTCGAAATGGTAGCCCAGCTTAAGCAGGGTAGTGTTCTCCTTGAGCAGCTTGGCAATCTCCATCTCGGTCTTGCCACCGCAGATGTGCCGCTGGTTGTGGAAGCGGAGTTCCGTCAGCGTGTTGTTCTGGAGGAGGGCCCGGAAGATGGCGAGGATGCCTTTTCCTGTGATGTGGTTAGAGTCCAGGTTCAGGCTGGTGATGGTCTTGTTGGCCTTGAGCATGATGGCGATGGCGAAGGCCACGTGGTCGTCAGCGCGTGTGTTGGCCAGGGCAAACACCTTGACCACCGTGTTGAACTCCAGAGCCTCGGTGAACCGGACCAAGATCTCATTTGTGATACAGTCTGAGTTGTTGACATTCACCTCGGTCATCTCTGGGTCATTGTTCTTCACTCTCTCCAGAGGCTCATCAAATATGCTGGGAGCTGCTTCCTCCTCCGCCTTGGCAAGCCCTTCAGAGGGCTTGGTGGGGCAAGCCGGGGCTGGTTTCTCCTGCGCTTGGGTCTTGTTCTCTTCTTTGGGTTCCTTTTCGCTTATGGACTCATCTTTTTTCACTTTCTCTTCCTCCCTTTTTGTGTCTGTGTTCCCACTTCCTCTTTTCATCTGCTCACCCTCTTTCTTGGTGTCTGCGTTCCTACTCTCCCCTTTTCCCTTCCCGTCGTCTTCTCTCTTGCTTATCTCCTTCTCCTCTCTCTTCTTGTCCTTGTCTCTGCTTGTCCCTGCACTCCTGTCACTGCCTTTCTTCTCGTCCTCCTTCCTTGGGGCTGCTGCCTTCTCCTCTCCCTTCCCATCCTTCCCTGCCTCCTTCTTGTCCACAGCAGCCCGGACCCGGCCCTTGTCAATGCCCCTGATGAGCTTCTCCTCCTTGGGCTTCTCTCCGCTTTTGCCATCAGCTTCATCTTTGTCTCTTGAGAAGCTTTTCTTTAAACCACCCCTCTTTGGCTCCTTCCCCAGGTCTGAGTCCCGTCTGGGGCCCAGGGGTTTTTTGCTGGCATCTCTGCCCCTTTCTTCTCCTTTCTTGGCATCTGTCTTGGTCTCCACTTGCTTGCTTTCCTAAGAATTCAGAAAAGAAAAATAAACATGAAGAGCTGGCTACAGAGGGAGAGGAGTGAGTATGGGGACAAGTGTGGGGAGCATTTATATAACTGCCCTGGAACCTCCAAAGGGCAAAGTCCATTGAGAACACCCTAAGAGGATCTGGAATTCAAGCTGCAGAGAACAGGCTGACGTCAGACTCAAGAAAACCTCAGGGTCGTGAGGGGCCAAGATGAACACCTGAGGGGCTTGTGGCAAGTCCTTCCCCAGGGGGTTCTCAGACCCAGAGCTGCCCTTTTCTGTCATGGGTGAGTTAGCAGGAATGCTTCCAAGTGGTGCCTTGCTGAGCCGCGTCGGAACCCGAGGCAAGAGGAAACATCACTTATTACTGCTTCTGTCTTTATTTAAAATTTTGAATTTTTGGTTGTCATGGATTTTTTTTTTGGCATTAAATTCAATTTTTAAAAATATCAGATCGCTGAGCTTTTGCGTGCCCCCTTCCATCCTCTGGGCTAGGCAAGTGCCTCGCGTGCCTCACCCTAGCGCTGGCCCTGCTTCCAAAGGGGAAGTAGGTCAGTGGTCCTCAGATGCTGGAATTTTACGGATAATACCTTTTCAAAGGAATAAAAAAGTTGGAGGGACCAACAGAGGGCTGCTAACATTTTATTTTACCAATTAAAGATATTTCTAAATTTGATCTACCATCATTCTCTCATTGAAACAAGAAGGAGCTTACAATAAAGAAGGTAGACATTAACAGAATAAAGCCCATACCTTTACGTCAGATATGGGTAGCTTTTCAAAGAGCCCATAGTATTGTGCTTATTTTTTTAGTAAAAACTTTGTTGAGGACCAGCACCTTTCTGTAAGGAGCCCTGGAGTCCACTGAGTGAGCTGACCTCAGGAAGACTCTGCCAGATTCTGGATCTAGGATTCTGTGACTCTGCATGGACCACACGGACACTGAGAAATTGTTGAGGGGGCCTGGAAGGGAGTCAGCTGAGTTGCATTAAAGTCTTGAATTTTACGCGCAACATGGGCTGTCCTGTACTTCCGTGGGGCCCTGTGTCTTCTTCCACGAAGTTGCAGAAAGTCTGAGCCTTATTTTGAGAGTACTTGCTTCCTACCCCCTTTAGAAGAGCCAAAGAAGCCTCAGAATTGCCTAAGATTAGATATTAAACTGTCCAACTATGATAGATAACCTGGAGCAATCCTTGGGACCTCAAGGAATGTCCTTCCTAAAGGTTTTTTTGTTTTGTTTTGTTTTGTTTTTTAAAAGGAAGAGACTATGGCCTGATTATTAGAAAGGTTTTCTTTCTTTCAAGAGTGCCTGGTTGGGGTGTGGGAGGAGGAGGAGGGCACCCCGGCCCTCCCAGCTTCCTCACCCTCACCCTGCCGGGACGGAATGGAGAGTTGGTTGGTCCTATGGAAACAGTTTGTACCTGCACCACAAACACATGCCATTGGGGACCAGCCCCAGGGTTTATTTAGCAGCAAAAGTCCTTGGCTCCTCTGCTAGAATCACAACAGGCAGCCAAGGGACACAGGGCCCGGTGAGGGAGGGCTGAGGAATGTGCCCCTTCTCTCCTCCTGCCCCATGGGGGCTGTTGCACGGAGGGGACTCTCTGGGGCTTCGGTGGTGGAGCAAGGGCCAGAGGATGCCCTCTCACTTTCTCTGGCTCCCAGAGAACTGGATTTGACCCTTCAGATCACCCTTGCAGTGATGGTGACTTTACTGTACCTTGATTTGAAAGGAAGGGGAGGCTTGGAGTATGCAAACATAAGGTGAACGAGGAGATCCAATGGGTCAGCCCCGCTAGGACACACCTAACATCTGCCCCAGCTCAGCCAGGAAATTCCAGCCCAGCCCAGCTCAGAGTGGTTTCTTCTCAAATTCCATCCACTTCACAAGCATGGAGGTGAGAGCTGGGTGCCACAGCCTCTCCAGGGAGTCCCGCCAAAGCTCCAGAGGTCAGGCCCCCAAGGCAGGGACTCCTGCCCTCCCCTTCCAAATGCACGCCCTTGGGGATTTCTCAGCGCCCACCGGGCAGTGCCCAGCTGCTCTCTGCACAGTTCCCACGCCGCCCACAGGCCTCACTTAGAGGGAAATTGGGAAGCCTGAGAGATATTAACCAGCAAGTTCAGGAAAAACTGGGTTTCAGGTCTGACCGGCTCACCAGCAGCTGCCAAGTCAATGTAACCTTCTCCAACCTTGCCCATTAGGGCCAAGGCACTCCTCTCCACCTCCAGGTGTGCCTAGCTGCCCCTGCTGCCCCTGCTGCCCCCAGGACCTTGCTTGGCAGCGGCCTCCTCTCCCAGTCAAACCCATCCCGCTTTCCGACCAGGGCTCCCATTCAGAACCTTCCCCTGCTCTCCCATCAGGACTCCTTTTCCAACATTTTAACCCTCTCTCTGCCCTGACACCCTAGATTCTGACCTGCCCCCTTGGTCTTCATCCAGCACTACTCCCCACTCCCTCTTAGGGTACTCCCCCTACACTGGGGTCCTAGTTGGCTTGGATCTGTCATGTGTCTGTTCTTGAGGAGGTGTTCCAGCCCTTTAAAAAGAACCTAATGAAAAACAGGCGGGGCGGGGGAGGGGGGGAAGCTGATTAATCATGGGTTTCCTCCAAATAGCCAGGAATGAGTGGGGCTGGGGCTTGTCGCAGCTCGTGCAGCCCGGAGAGCTCAGATGTTGCCTTAAAAGGAGAAGGAGCCCAGCGTCCTCCCAGGGCTGAGATTTCTGGTGAGCGAGCTCCTCAGCACATAGCAGAGCTGCCTCCTTCTTGCTTATCTGAAAGGGCGTCCAAGCCAACTTCTTTTGCTTCTAGAACTGGTGGTGCATCCTGGCGACCTCCAGAGGTTATTTTTGCTTGTCTTCCTGTCTCTCGGCCTCACCCCACCATTCATCACTTATAGCAAGAGGGGTTTAGGTTAGATATAACAAAGAACTTCCACAGAGCAAAGGTCCACAGGCTTCTAGATGAGAGATCAAAGCAGCAATAATTGTTTTTCCCTTTGGGGAAAGCTTTAGGGTTAGGGGAAGGCCAAGGGTGATTTGGCAATCCTTCATAGAGGCAGGGGAATGGAGAGGATGACCTCTGAAAACCTCTAACAACCTGTGAGACTTTGCAGGGACCTAGAAATCAGACTCAGAGGTGAGAAGCAGCTCCCTTCCTCTATCAGCTCCAGACCTGTGGCTTCATGGTGTTGCTCTGTCTGCCACTTGGGTTAGGATCCCAGTTAAATGCCTTTGACAGGTTTGACATGACATCCTTTCCCTTACCTTGGGCCTTCAGATACTACTTCCTCTAGAAGTTTTGTCTGATTGACCAGAGAAGAGAACATTTTGCCACCTTCATTGCCAAAGGGGGAGCGGAAAAGAAGTGTCTGCCCGGAAGTCCCTAGAAAATGAGAACTTGCCGAGGGAAGGCCAAACCCCCTGTGTGTGCTGCGCTCAGCCCTCAGCCCACTGGTACCTATTAGCTCATGTAGACCACCACCGAGGCCCTCTCTTTCCTTCCTATGGCGCGTCGCCTGCAGAGTGATCCTGCCTGAGGCCCATGCAAGGGGGAGAGTCTGCAGACCTCCCCAGGGGACAGCACCAAGACCAGATGCACCCTGGGGAAAGCTTCTCCAACAGGACTTGGAAGGTCTGGGTCTGTCGAGTTCGCCCCAGCCGCTGGCCTAGGAGGGCAGGGGTGACTGGCAGTGGCTGCGCCCCTCACATGGGACCCCACTGCCATGAATCCAGGCACCGTTGCTCCATCCCCA